TCAAAATTAAAAGCAAAAAACAACACATTTGAAAGAAGTTGCTGCACCTGCAAAGACACTCTTTAAGCTTACTATGAAATACAAAAAAGTGCACTCTTCTATATCTACATATAAAACTTATTAGAAATAAAACTTGTGTAAAATGTTTGCTGTGCAAACTATAAAAAGTCAGTCAGTTCATTGTCTTTCCTAATATTTTAGGTCAGCTCCTCTTGCTTCCTATTGCAGAGAATCACTGTTATCCAAGACCAGCCCACTGATATTTGTAGTTGAGAGGTCTGTTCCATCATCTTCAGTGCTGTCTACAGATTCATCCTCACTTTGCCCTGCCATCATGACTTGCTGAACAGCCAAAGTAGTACCATCAGATGAAAGTGATTGGAGACTGTCCACATTCATGTTGACGGGAGCTGTAATTGTTACAACAGCTCCTAAAAATGGAGAAAAGTAGAGATCCAATTGGAAAAAAACAATTAGATATTTTTTTAAAAAACCCACAACTCATTCTGAAATATTCATTTCATCTTATTTTCTAAAATAAACCAAAATAAAGTTTTAGATTGAATGCTGCAAATTTAACAATTGGAAATGAATTACAATTACACGGACTATCTAATCCATTCTTTTCTTCAGTAAGTCATTTTAATGACATTGTGTTCATTTTGTTTTAGTCTAGTTTGGACTGAATAAGAATTCAGAATTTTGGAAGTGTTAAGGCATTACTACCTCAAACTAGCATTACAAGATTTGCAGCATCTGGGGCAATTATTTACATACTAAGTTGGACATCAGTAGTTAAGCTAATATATTAAAGCTGTGACATACGGAATTAAATATCGGAACAGGGATATTTAGCTTCAATGCACCACTATAAATATACTTGTCTGATCATGGAAGGGAAGAAAGTTCCTGTTTGGCAGATAGTAATCATTTCTATTTTCTATGCAGTCCATGAAAATGTATTTAGTAAAGTAAACCTATATTAATTCATTATTTTCAGTAGGCTTCATACAAAGAAATTGAATAAAATATTTACAAATTGGCTCATCAATCAGCAAAGTAAAAAATAAAGCCATTTTTTAAAGCTATTTAATGAAGTAAAGCATCTGCTTACCGTCTGACATAGTAAGTTCGTTAGTTTGATGCTGAGCTACTCCTGATGCAATGGAGTCTGGCCAGAACCTCTGAACTGGTCGGTTTTGGGCTGTTTTCTTCTTTGTTTTTGGTGTTTCAGAACAGCTAGAATCCAACATTGGCTGGAGAATTCGCCTTCTAGCATTGATAAACCTACACAAGGGCAAAACATAAACTTCCAAATTAACTATAGAAATTTGGTATTTTCTAATTAGGACTTTTTAAACTAAACAACTGAGCAAAAAATAGTATAAGTGCTTCTTATTTACTGATGCACTTTACAATTTCAGGTCTATATTTAAACTTTTTCTTCTCAAAAGAGACTACAAATAATTTTGAGTCTTTTTAAAATATGGCCACATTCTTACATTTTCATACAATTACTAATAAATCAATCTTTCACAATTTACCACCAATCAATCAAAATCTTGGGCTAAATCAAATCTACAATTTTATTATTTTGACAGGGATACTTGCTTTGATAAAGGTTTGAGCAAAGCTCTAAGTCAGAGCTCCTTGGAAAAGCAACAAGGAGCAACTCTCCTTCCTCTGTGAGCAAACTATCATGTTCCTTTCTGTGGTTCTGCTTTGCAGATTCCTCCCCGTCCTTAGAGCAGCCTTCTCCTGCAAAAGTGGCTAAAGGGCATCCAGATTGGTCAGTTTGGGCAATGTGTTGAAATCCTCCCAGTTGTCTGGGAATCCTCTCACCGTGTACCAAAGGTCTTTCAAACTGGGTTGCATCCAACAATCTGAGGAATGCCATAATCACCTCCTTAAGGCAGGGCTTTTCAACCTTTTCACCCATTGTACCACTTTTAGGATATGGCAACATCCGAGTACCACCAGTCGCCTAGCAAGGTGTCAAAAACTTGATGACCAAAAAAAACAAAAAAAA